CGTGAGCAACGCGATGTGGATGCAGTGCCCAAGGCGGTTGGGGCATTCTATGGTCGTGGGCTCCATGTCGGTAACTTTGGTGGCTGGATCAAGCCCGCGATTAGGAGGTCCGTCGATGTCAGGACGTGGTTGACCAAACCATGTAAGGAGGCATCTTGAATCGCGTGCGAGGTGGCAGCTGACCAGGTTGGCAGTCCAGCGGGCCATGAAGGCATGCGGCCTGGCAGGCTGCACGGTGTTGTGTTGGCGCCAATCGTAGCACCGCGCGGACGGTCTTGAGACAATGCGCGCGGCTGGAATTCGAAAGACATCGCGCTCGACAAGAACTAGGCAACTGAGAAGGCCGGCGGTGTTTACATAGCAGGCAGCACCCATGGGATGTCCGTAGGGTGCCGTTTCTAGCCACGCGTGAGTCGATAGAGGCTCGCGAAAGGTTATCCAATTAGGATTGCCCCAAAGGAGTCCTAGCTCATCATAAGCAATTTGTCTTTAGCCCCTCCTTTTTTCAAGTGGCCCGCCCAATTTTTCCAATGGCGCCCCCCAGCTGTTCCCAATGGCCAGTCCTATGCTTGCTCTTGCTTGCTTCCGCTTGCTTGCTTCCGCTTGCTTGATGTTGTTCCTCCCGTCATCTTCCCGTCCTGCTCCTGTCCTCCTGTCGTCATCCTCCCATATTCCTCTCGTCCTCCTGTCCTCCTAACTATTTGGTGTCAGCGCTGGCTGATATTCATGCATGTCCTGTTGCAGTTGATGTTTGTCGACGCGCTGGGCGCCCCAGTTATTTCGGCGCCCGCGCCAAGGGGTGCATTTGTAGTGGAAATGGTTTGTGGGTCCCGATTGGTGTCTGCAGCGGTTCAGTTTCGACGATTGGATACTCCGGGGGCACTTGTAAGCATTACTGGCGTTGCCTCTCCCGTTCCTCTTTGTGCCATCCCGCCCTGCACGCAGCGAGGGGTGGCCAGTGCAGGTCGCCAGCGCGGCAGCCAAGGCCATTTTGGCCGCCGCGCCATTGACTGTTGAGGAGCGAGCCCTCCCTCCACGTCGCCCCTGGCAATGGGCTCGTGCCCGACGCCGTGACCTCGGCGGAGCACGACCTGAGGAAGGTGGGGGGGGGCAGCTCCAGCGTGCGCTGTGGTGCTCCCGCCTCCCTCGAGAGTTGCTCTGTCATCTGAGCGAGGCCCCCCGGGCGGTCTCGTCGCCTTCCGGGCTCCTGCCCTTGCGTGCTACTCTGTATTCGCGGGGGCCCTGGCCGGCGGAGGTGGCACGGGGCAAACAGACGCAGGCGCCATCCAGAGCCCCCCCCCGCCCTTACAGGGGCGCGGCCCGCACGACGGGGGCCAAGGGTTCCACCGAGGGGAAGCTGCCTCACATGCATCAGTCTGCGCTCCAGCCGCTCTTGCTGACCCTCCGTAAGGCGACTTGCAGGTTTCACAGCCTGGCGGAGCTTGCTGCTGACAGCTCTGTTTTGCCCAGTTGCTCGGCTTGTTGGTCGTCGTATCGGCTGTACTGTTCTTGGTTAGGCGGGTGACGATGAAGCTGGATGGAGGGGTATTCAATGGTGTTGTGTTGCTACCCGTGGGGCTCATGGACCATCCCATCGCTGCCGTCAGAGCGCTCGTGCTGCGAGGCAGCGTGTTTGAGGCTGCTTTTTCTCTGCCCGCCCGCGCGCGGGCTGTCTGACGTTACGGGTGGGAACCCACCCAGCAGCATGCAGGAGAAACATGGACGGCCGATGATGAAGCGGAGTACGTGGTGCAGGAGGAACAGGGGCAGTGGGAGCAGAGGCCTCGTTATGAACAGCTGTCCAGCAAGAGCAGGATGTGAGAGCAGGACCACGTATTTCTATACATCGTGTATATATATATATACACACATATATAGATATATGTATATACGTGTAAATATCGATTTGCTTTCGGCTCATCCCGCTTTCTTGCCCTCGGGTGTGGGTCAGAGGTCTCTTGGGTGCATAGGATGCCACTCGTGGGGTCGGGGACTCTTCCGGAAAGATTATTGGGAGCCCTCTGTTGTCCTTTTGGGGCCTCGCGGGGGCGCTTCTGGGGCCTCCGGGCGATTTTGGGTCCATCTGTGGGTGGACAGTTTCAGATGTACTTCTGGACGCTTCGCGTAGCCTCCGCCAGCTTATCCAGGCACGATGCCCAGACGAGTTGCACCGATCAGGGATGTGGAGAACCACGCAGTGTAATACATGGCTGGGTAGGACATCGTGCCCCAGGAGGGGGAGGATAGGAGGAATCGGAGCCAGAGCAGGAGGAGATGGAGGAGGATTAGGAAGAGGAGGAGGATGAGGAGGACGAGGAGGAGGAGGAGGTGTGGGAGGAGTAGGAGGAGGATGAGGAGGATGAGGAGGAGGAGGAGGAGCAGGAGCAGGAGGAGGAGGAGGAGGATGCGGAGGAAGCGGAGCAGGACGATGAAGAGGAATAGGAGGACAAAGAAAATCAGCACCTTGGCGCGTCTTGGGTGCCTTGGGGAAGCCTTCGGGGGCCTTTTGATCGTGGGGGTATCCTGGGGCATCCTGGGCGCCTCTTGGGGCCCTCTTGGGGCAGTCTTGGGAGGCTTGTGGGCCATCTTGTGACCGTTTCGAAAGCTCGATCAGAAAAGGGGAGTTGCTCGATTAGACCCCTCCCCCGGGCAGCCAGCATGTGGTCAACATGTTTATCGCCGAGGCCATCTTTGATGTTCTAACTACCCGCGGCCCTCCCCCGTCCAGGCCCAGGTGGCCGCCCCCCCTGAGGAGGTGGGTCTGGAAGAGAAAATGTTCTAAACAACTCACGCCCTAAGGGGCTGGTGGGATTCCGTGTTTCCCCTCCTGGGGCCGTCCGGCGACCTTTTGGTCGTGTTGGAACCGTCTTGAGGCTTGGGGGCCTCGTGGGCCGTTTTGTGGCCGTCTTGGGGGCCTCCTCGACCGCCTTGGAGCGTCAGAAGACCGAAACTGAGAGAATGTTGACGTCTGTCGAACTTCGCCTCTTTGGGCCGTCTTGGGGCTTGACTGCGAGGCCGATCAATGAGGTTTGCCTCTCGGGGCCCTCGTTGGCGGCATCTCGAGGTCCTTGTTCGTAGTTTGTTTGGGGGCCTCTTGTGTCATCTCGGAGCCAAGTGAAGCGTCTCAGGGGCTGTTCAGGGCCATCTTGGTCTATCTTATGGGCCCCCTGATCTCAGGAAGCCCGACGAGGTCTGCGGCAACACGCACCACATCCCAGGATCGCCCAGAACTCGCGGCTGTGGGCCCCCTGAAGGCTCCCTGAAGAGGTCTTTACACTTCCCCAATAAATGGATGATTCGAAGTAGCCAGGCGACACGCAAACCCTTGCCTCGACCAGAAAGAGGGTCAGGATGAGCAGGGATAACGTGGAGAAGGACGCATGATCAGGAATCAGGTGGCAGCATGCTGAAGGGCAGCAGGAGTAGAACCATGAACAGGACCAGCAATATGTGGAGAAGGTGGAGGGGGAGGGCTGGAGGGAGGATGAATACGAGACTGGTGAGGGGTGACGCATCCAAGCAGACGTTGCTGGACACATCCCCTTGCTCTGAGGTCGGCTCGTCCGCGGTCCATCGCAGGTGTTCGCCGCATCGCCTCCGGTAGGAGGGACCTGGGGGAAGGAGAAGCGGCACCACCACCGCCAGGGGGGCCACCTTCGGCGAGCAGGGAGGTACACGATGCCTCCCCGAGCCTGGGACAGGGGGTGGCTCGAGCAAGAGGGGGGTGATGGGCTCATTCTCCACCACCACTGCCATAGGTAGGAGGAGGAGGAGGAGGCGGAGGAGGAGGAGGAGGAGGAGGAGGAGGGAGAGGAGGAGGAGGAGAGGAGGAGAGGAGGAGAGGAGGAGAGGAGGAGGAGGAGGAGGAGGAGGAGTGGGAGGAGGACGCGGAGGAGAAACAGGAGGACGAAGAGGAGGAGAAGGAGGATGAGGAGGAGGAGAAGAAGGAGGAGGAGGAAGGACGACGAGGAGGACGATGAGGAGGACGACGAGGAGGGAGGAGGAGGAGGATGAGGAGGAGGAGGAAGGAGGACGATGATGAGGAGGGGGAGGAAGACCTCCTCATCCTCCCTTCGCCCCCGTCCTACGTATGGTAGTGGTGGTGGAACATCTGTGCCCACCAGGGGGGGGGGACAGGGGGACAGCCCCGGCAGGCTCCGCCCGCCGGCGGTCTCTGATGGTGGTGTTGCCGCCTCTCCCTGCTCCTGAAGGCGGCGGGTCGAAGGAGAGCTGAAGGAAGCAGGAGGGCAACACCAACAACAACAACAACCAACAACCAACAACCAACAACCAGCAACAACGACAGCAGCAGCAACAACGGCAACAACAGCAACAGCAACAGCAACAACGACAACAATACTCCGCATCGCGGCAACGGCAAGGAAGCCAGAGGGCAACACCAACAACAGCACCAACCAACCAACCAACCAACCGACCGACCGACCGACCGACCAACCAACAACAACAGCAACGACAATACTACTAACAACAACAACAACAACAACATTAACAACAATTACAACAACAACAACAACAGCAGCAGCAGCAACAACAACAACGGCAGCAGCAACAGGAACAGCAACAATAACAGCAACAACCACAATCACAGCAGCACCAACAGCAACACAGTCCCGAAGGCGGCGGGTCGAAGGAGAGATGAAGGGAGCAGGAGGCAACAACAACAGCTGCCAACAACAACAGCAACAACAACACACATAGCAGCAGCAACAGCAACTGCAGCAACAACAGCAATAATCCGCATCGCGGAGTCCCGCTTCAGCCACGCACCCAGGGAGAGTGAGTGAGCGTTCTGCCCCCTCACTCTGATAAGGAGGAAGCAGTCTGAGGGCCGAGAGTGGAATGAGGACCGAGAGAGCAGCGTGCAGACATGGCGAAGAACGGAGACGAGGAGGGGCATTTTGGGAAGAGGACGGCGACGGGGTGGACAAGGATGATCAGGAGGGAAAGGGAGTCCCTCCGTTCTGCCTCCCTGCATCGAGACCTCGAAAGAGACGGCGGAGCTCTCCGTGAACACCGAGAAGGAGACTGCCTGGCCGGCCATAATTGTCACTGATCATGTTGGTCGAGGGTCTGGGTGGCGGGCACGTCGGAACAATCAGATCTGCACCATCTTAGTGCCAAGGGTTTTGTCTCCCCCTATTCTTGAGGCCAGCCTGTCCCTCTACAGGCGGGAATATAAAAAAAAGTAAAACAATAGTTTGGGAACGCATTTCTGTGTGTATATATAGTATGATACTTGGCATATGTTTAAGTAGTTCTTAGGCTTTCTTCATTATTCGTCCCAAACCCCCTTGTAGGGGGACATGCCCGACCTGATATGAGTGCCAAGGTTTTTCCTCCCCCTATTCCTCTCTTCCTCCATCGCCTTTCTGGCTTAAGCTGCAGCCCAGTTGCGGCTCTGTGGTTATTCATGGCTCGCCATCTGTTTCATGCACAATCATTGCGAGTCGTTGTTGGGAACCATCGGTGTGCGTGTCGCTTCCGGCGCTCTCCTGGCCCTACCATTCGTTGGCCATTCTGATAGGATTTGATATTTGATCCTTGATTATTTTCTTGCTCCCTCTTCCGCGGAAGCTGGCGAAAGCACATCGAGGGATGTTTGCAGGTCTTTCCAGCTGGCTACATGGCTGTCGCACAGTTCTCTCAAAAGCCACGGAGACTATCAATGTCATGAGTTGTTCGGCCTGGTATCTTCAAGAGGTCTTAATAGAAACACCCAGGGCGCCTTCAAAAGGTTCCCAAGTGTCTCGAGACGATTTGAAGACGGCAAAGATACCCCGAAGTTGACTTGTCGAATAGGTTCGCCAGAGGCTTGCCGAAGGGCTCAGCGGACGCTCCAGAGGCCCTCGACGGCAACCCATTCATCGTCAAGTCTCGCTTTCAAGGCATCCGGACTTCCAGACTGGAGGGTGTCCACGACGGCCCGCGATGTCTCCAAGATCGCCCCAAAGCGACCACGACGGCCCCCGAGGCCAACAGATGGCCCAACCGAACACTGGGAAGTGGGGGCAAAGGACGGGGATGAGGCGGAGGGGGAAGAGGGCACTGGGGGTGAGGCGGAGAATAGAGGGAGGGGCAGCTTCCAGGGGAGCCCGCGATAACACCAGGGGTCAGCACTTCGTGTTGTCAGGAATGTGGCTCCATTGTTGCAGATTCGCTCATCGTCGGACGTCACAGCTTCCAGGAAAGCCCAAGATGGACCCAGTATCGGTCCAAGCCACCTAATCTAGTCTCAGGAGACTCCCCAGCTGGCCCCAAGACTGCCAGAGAAGCTCCAGGACGGCCCACGAGGTCCCCAGGACAGTCAAACAGGGCACCAAGTGGGCCCTAAAACACCTCCGAGAGACTTCGGAGACGGCCTCGAGTGTCCCCAGGCGGTCCGAAAGAGCTCCGAGGCATCGAAAGAGGGACACAAGATGGCCCAAGATACGCCCAGGGTGCCCAAAGAGGGCCCACGGAAGTCCTGGAGAGCCGCCATCACAATCCCGAGACAGCCCAATAAGTTTTTTCCTCCCAGCTTTGAAGACCATGGGCCAGGCCCCAGGTTGACGCACGCACCTGAGCTGTCCACGCTCTCCGTGACGGCGTCGGCCTGTCCCGTATGGTTGGCTATGGCAGGTCCTGATGAGGATAGCCAGGCGCACGCCGAAATGTTGGAGACGCACAGGACCAGGGGTCCCCGAGAAAATGGGCATACTCAGTCCCAGACCAAATCAAGGTGACGACGAGGGCTTCAACGCGGGTGCACATGTTGCATTGTATTTTGCAGCGGTGTGAAGATATTGGGCAAACGTCTGGGTATCAGCCACGAGTCTCGTCAGAGCTTGTTTTTGGCGTGGATGTTAAACGTCCACGCGACGTGGTCGTTTTGAGACTAGCTTCCTCCGGTGTTTGGCCCCAGCAGCCAGAGCAGTATCAATGGTCGCCTCAAGGAGGGGGTTTCGCAGGTGCGCTCTGACTTTTTTGCCGCGTCCGGGTACGAGTTCGGTCTCTTGACCCCAACAGCTCTGGAGGCCAGGTTGGTCAAAACAAGGCTAGGATCAGGATAAATCGCTCCAGAGCGTTCCGGAGCGCTTTCAGAGCGTTCCGGAACGCTCTGGAGCGGCCGCGGCGCCCAATACATCCTCCAAACCCGCCGATTCTCAGAGATTTCGAGTTATCCCGATCCGATTTTGTCCCGATCTTCGCGCCGTTTTATTGGGCCTCTCGAGCGAGGTGCCCCACGAACGCCTCGCGACGAGGTCCAGGTGGCTCGCACTCCTTGGGCCGCGGTGGGCACCCGTTGAAGGGAAAGGGAGGCACCTCGCGGCCAGCCACCAATGCGTCAGCCAGGAGACCGCGATGTCACGAATGAGGGGGCAGCTGTTGCTTCCTTTCTCTCGGAGGTGGATAGACCTCCTACCCTGACACGTCGATTAAGGAATTGGCCGTTTTCGGTTCGCGAGAGGGCGTCGCGGCTGTCATTTTTGCGGGTCCAGGTCCGTCGGTTTCGGTCCCAGGCCGTTTTCACTAAGGGGAGGTTTACTAAAGGGAGGTTTGTCCACCGCCGATTCTCGTATGGCCAGAATGCCAGTCGCCAGGGCAAGCCCAGCCCTGGACTGAGAGACTTCGGCGGATTCCAGGGTTGGGTTCCTTGCGGCTGGTTCTTGTGTGCATCGACCCCCAGTGTTTTGCGGTGCGCGTGGGTCGGGCGGATGCATTGTCAAGGTGCCCTGCTCAGAGGGTGGCGGGTCGGGGGTTTTCGTTTGAGCGGGCGTTCGAGGTTGAACGCGACGCAGTGGCCCGTTTCGGGCCCCGGGGCCCGCAGAAACGAACCCACAGCGCGACATCGATATCGAAGATGGGGTCGAGGGGTTACAGAGTCTTCTGGGAGCGGATATCGTTCAAGAATGAGCGATCCACGCGGTGTCAGAAACCAACACCGACGGCGCTGGAGCGTTCGACCCCGTCGTGAAGTTCCTGCTGTTCCTCCTGTTGGTGTTCCTCTTGGTCCTCCTGCTGCCCTTTTCCCGCTTTGTATTCCCCCCCTCGACGAAGGCCGCCAGGACCGCCGAAACAGGAGAGGAAAGGGAGAAGGAAGAGGAGACGCAGGAGGAGGAGGACAAGGTGGAATAGGAGGGGATTAATGACAAGTTTTGAGGGCCTCCGTGATGTGTGGCGATCCACGCAAAGAAGCCTCGCAAATACGAGTGTGCTCGCTGATACGTTTGGCTTGCTGGTGTAGAACATGCGCGGTTGTGCACGGAGACATTGTGGCGTGAACAAGCGTTGCGGCGCACATGGTTGTTGTGGTGTACACAGGCGCTGTGGTGTACACAAGCGCCCTGGTGCCCGCAGGCAACGTAGTGTACACGAGCGCTGTTGCGCACAAGGCTATTGCAGTTTACGCGGGCACTGCGGTGGACATAAGCGACGTGATGTTGCGGTGCACGTGGTTGTTGTGGTGGACGGAAACACTGTGGTGCACACAGGCGGCTTTGTGTTGCACGCAGGCGCTGGGCTTTGTCGCGTGCACAAGGAATGTGGCACACACAGGTGAGTGATGCGCCTGTGGTGCGGACGCACCCTGGCGGGTGCACGCCGCGGCCGCCGTTACCGTTACCCTCCCGCCCGAAGCCCCCCTCCCCGGGCAACGTCCGTTACCCAGGAAGGGAAAACAACAGCTTGCCAACGTGGGCGCACATTATGTTTTGTATGTTGCAGTGATGTGGAGATGTTTGGCAACTTCCTTAAGCGGGCCTTCAAACTTAAGTCACGTCGAGAGAGCTGTACATCGACTCTCGGCCATCAGGTCGATGCGTTTGCACCACGCTCAGCCAAGTAGGTCACCTGGCGGTGACGTCTTGCCGTAGGTATTTTTGAGAGTTGTCTTCCAGCTCCCCAAAGCCCTGTTCTCTCTTACCCTTGCGCCGCCATCATATCATTTCTTCCGCATTATCGTCGTTCTCGCTCCCGCATGCTTATCCTCCTTGCTCCTATTTCCCGCATGCTCGCTCTCCTTGCTTGTATTCCTTCTGTATCGCCGAAGTCTCCTCCTTGCGTTCCCCCAGGGCAACACGCACGAGTGCGCCACGGGAGCCGCACGTCGGTGGAATGATCCCATTTCGCGAAGTATTCATGCGTTTGTGGTCGAATTCCAAGATCGCGACGTCCCTATGAAATGTCCATAGAGCGTGTGCTAATCGTACAAGAAGGTGCCATCGGCCATGCGACTCTTTATTCTCACTGCGCAGTCTCCATTCCGCGGTATACCGTGGCGCCTGGGCTGGCTGGAATTTGAGCGCGCGCGACGCGCTCGATGGCCGTAGTTTACAGTGTGTTCGTGTTTTCGTATAGTGTCCCTGATGTCCCCTGTCTGTTACTTCAACCTGCTGAGTCTCCATGCCGTCGGATGACCATGAGGGGTTTTCACCAGCTGCCGGCGGCGAACCCCGCCACCGTGCTTATGCAGCATTGCTGCAGGAAGGAGACTGGGTGTGGGAACGCCGCAGTTCCGACGAGTGGCCTCATAAAGACGGGTCGTAAACTCGACCTAGTCATCGTCCGCCTGGGAGGAAGTAGGTTGAGTTCACACCCCGCGGCAGTTCAGCGAGTGGTCTGCCCTGGGGACGGTCGTGCTCCTGACAACGTCTTCGTCCGCGCGGTAGGGAAGAAGAACAGGGGGTGGAGGAGGAGGCGAGGGAGAAAATGAGGACCCGGAGGTACAGGTTTTCTTGTCACCCTCTTGGGGTCTCCTGGGGGTCTCCTGGGGGCCTCCCGCGGGGCCTCTCGGCGGCCTCTTGAGGTCTCCTGGGGCCTCTTGGGGGCCTCTTGGGGCCTCTCGGGCAGTTTTAGGGGGGCGACTGGCCCATCGGAAACATTCTGAGGCCGTCTTGGGGGCTGTTATGTTGCATGTTGATGCCCTCTTGGGGCGCTTCAGGGCGGTCCTGCGGTCCTCTTGGGAACCTCTTGGGCGACCTGAAGGTGCTTCTGGGCCGACTCGGGGCTCTCTTGGGGACCTCCTCATGGGCTGTCTTGGAGGCATCTTGGAACTTAGTGGGCCCTGGAAACGACAAGGCCGTTTTTTTACCGGTTCCGTTTTGCTGTTTTTTTGCCGGTTCCGACGCCGTTGTTTCACCGGTTCCGTCGCCGTTTTTTGACCAGTTCCGGCTCCGGTTCCAATCCTGGAGCCGTTTTTTTGCCGTTTCCGGTCGCCGTTTTTTTGCCGTTTCGATTTTCAAGGGAATTTTCTTTGGAAACGGTGAAAAAACGGCCCTGCCGTTTCCGGGGCCACAAAGTCTTGGAAGCCCCTTGGGTCGTCTTGGGAGGTCGGGAGCCCAAGCAAACGAGAACCTCACGTTCTTGCAACACACTTAAGGGAAAACCATGTCTTATGCTTCCTCAGGCTGTCCTGGTCTATCTTGGTATCATCCCAGCTGGCCTGGAAGTCGTCTGGGACGCCATCTTGGCCGTCTCGAGGCAGACAACACCGCAGGAAGCAATTTCAGAGGGGGGGGTCTCCAGACCCTGCGCGTGCGGGGAGAAGGGGGTGTGCCCTCGGGATCATTCTAGAACTTCCAAGGCACAAGCCACAGACGAGCATTCTGACAGGCCTACTGCGTGCAGGAACGGTGGTGGATTGAAGCCCAGAAACATGCCCGCGCATTGTGCCACGGCACATGGAAGGCATGACATCTTATTCGCACTGGTGGTCGAAAACCGTTGAACATGTTCAGAGCATGGCGAAACCAGCACGGCCCAATTTCAGTCGAGTTGACAGCACCAATGCAGAACATTTTCCACCACGGCGGTGTCTAATATCGATCCGCGGGACTCGGGGGTTAGCGCGGTGCTGGAGTTGCTCAGGGTACGGCTGGCGTTCACTCTCTGCAGCGGTTTTCTTTGGATACGTTTGGATGCACATGTCATTCGTATGCGCTGGCACCAATAGCGTGTGACAACAAACTAGCACGGCCAATAGATTGCAGTCCTCAGGGAGTCGGGGCCTTCGTGCGTTCGTGGGCGATTAGGGGTCTTTTATTTGGGCTCGGGGATGAAGATGGAGGTGTGGTGTGTGCGGTGTGTGTGTGTGTGTGTGATCTTCTACGCCCTGTCGCCGCGCCCAAGGCCGTGACGCCAAAAGGTGTGTGTGTGTGTGTCTGTGTGTGGAGAATGGGGATAAGGGGACATGAGGAGGGGGCGAGGGGGATGGAGGAAAGGAGAGCTAGTGGGGAGGTGTGGGGAGGTGGGGGATGGGAGAGCGTGGGAGGGACATGCAGAGGGGGGATATACTGAAGGGGATGATGTTGCGCGCATGGTGGCCTGGAGGGGCCCTCGCCGCTGCTTGCGCGAGTGCGCGCGCGAGGAGCTGCAGCTGTTGGCGACGCAGAGACATGCCGAGGTGGAGGAGACCTACGAAGCAATGTTATAATGAGGGTTGGTGATGATGAGGATAAGGATCAGGTGGTAGTGAAAGGGGAAGAGGAGGGGGAGATTCAAGAACAGGAGTAATGAGCAGGGTGATGCGGTCGTGAAGGGGGGGAGGACTGCAGAGATCCCAGGATTCGCCCTTGTGCGGACGACGAAAGACCCATGGTTTGCCATTCCAGACGGGAGCCCCCACCCAGTATCGAAAAGGAGCCACCTTTCACGCGTTCCAAAAACATCAAGGGAGGAACAACCACCCGGACCGGACAACTGGCGTTTACTAAACGGCTTTGGGCGTTTATTAGACAGCCATTCCCTGTTCGATTCCTTATTTGGGCGTGTTACTGAACGACTTCGCGTGTCGGGGTGGTAATCATGGGGGTGGATTTGTTGACCTCTAAAACAGTGTTTGCATTTTCCATCCCTCATATGCGTTCACAGGCAACCGGGTGGGTCCGCCAGGGTTCCGCCTCGTGCCCAGTTGGATGCCCGTCAGTGGCGCGGCGGCTCGTGGGCGCCTCGTGGGCGGCGGGTGGGCGCCTCGTGGGCGCCTCGTGGGCGGCGGGTGGCCTCGCCAGGGTTGCCACGAGCCGGCAACTGGCACGCATACTTTTGCGACGGCCAGAGTCTGTGCTGTCGGATGGAGGGTGCCGCTCGAATGGGAGCACCCCTCGTGGTCCGACCACTCGCACCCGTAGCGACCGCGCCCTCGTTACTCTGCCGTTCCCTGATCCTCCTCCCATGGATTTCAGGGTGTGCTGTTCTCTCGTCAGGTCTCGCCTGAGGAGGAGGATCGACTAGACGTAAGAGTGACCTTTCGCCGGAGTGACCTTTAGTGCGGGCACAGATGGGTCCCCAGATGGCTGAAAACGAAGCAGGAGCAACGGCTTGCGCGCCCAGGTTTGGTCCCCACGCGGCCCCCCAAACGCCGCGCACCAAAGGTCACTCTTACCCAGGGTCACTCTTACGTATAGCCGAGGAGGAGGAGGAGGAGGAGGAGGAGGAGGAGGAGGAGGAGGAGTAGGAGGAGGAGGAGAGAGGAGGAGGAGGAGGAGGAGGCTGGTGACGAGTGGGTGGCCGGTCGGTGGGCGCCCCGTGGGCGCCCCGCCCCCTGGCGCCGGGCGGGCCCGCCGTGGGCTCGCCCTGTGCCCGCCCGTGGGCCCGTGGGCGCCTCGCCTCGTGGGCGCACCCCGTGCGCGGGCTGGGTGGGACCAGGACAAGCAGCAGGGCCAGTGAGCTCAGCAGCAGGAGAAGTGACCTCGCATGGGCGTCTCGTAGCCGATGTCGGAGGCGCGCAGCCTGGCTCGCGTGCTACCGCTTCAGGAGGGGACAAAAACACACAGACACAATCAATCGTCGACTCCCCGAAAATATGGGGAAATATGGGAAATGGGGGGGGGGAGACAAAATGGGAGAATATATGGGGAATCTGTTTATCAGTGTGTATATATTTGTGTGTCCTGGGGCCCCTTCACCGCTGGGATTCCGCCCGCTTCCCGCCCATGGTCGCACTGCACCGCACAGCTAGCGCCACATATTTTCTCGTTCACAGATCCCCCCCCCAGCCCGTGCTTAACCCTTGCCCCGACCCCCTGGGGTATGGCACAGTACGCGCGCTTCTGCCGAATAGCTCATGTTCCAAATGAATCCATATCGTTCCAGGCGTGCGATGAGCCCCAGCCCCCCTCTTCTTGGCAAGTACTTATATGCCCGAATACTCGTCGTTTATCTTAAAAGCTACTGGATCAAAAATCCTTGACGGCAGACTCATCGCAAAATCCACGCGCGCGCACATGCCGACGCAGTAACCAAATGCATATGTTTTGCACACGCGTTAGATGAAAGCTCAGACAAACAACACCCTCGGTTGTTGCTTACCAGATCTTACGGAGTGTCCGCCAATGCGCACGTGCTGAAACCATGGGAAGACCATACGCATTTAGCAAGCTTGCGCGGGACCCGCATTCTAACCTCACCACGCGGTGCATCCGCGCTGATCCAGCATGCGCTCAGCGCACGCATCCGTATCACATAGTGTCACCCCCCGCGAATGTCGAATTCCGTCCAACACCGTCAATGTTCAAAGCATTTCAAAATACAGCCATTCAGTCACACATGAACATCACATGTTTTTCAGCACCACCTCTGCCAGGCTTCTTGCATCTCCGCGCGCGCACTTCCTCAGCATCTACCTCGTCAGCGCCGCCGCATCACCGCCTTTATCGCCATCGCTAATCGCCACGATGGCGATGACATCGACATTACCGCAATCATCAGTCAATCACCTTCATCACCGACACTTGGGCATTCTCATATCAACGACATTGCCGCCACCAGCATCGGAGCCGTCATTCGCCTTGTCTTCTTCGCCACCACCATCGTTTCTATAACCGTTGTCCCCGTTGTGGACGTCATCGTGGAACCGCGCCCGCTCCAGTCACCGACCCGCTCTGATGCGCCTGCACGCCAGTGCGGCGTTAGAAACACGTTGGGAAGTTCCCATCCGTAAGCGCCACCGCGACCGCATCGATTGTGTCAAACCAGTTGGCCGCTCTGCGAGCAAGCGAGCTTCCGCGTGCTAGCGCAGCTGCAGAGATCGAGGCACCGCAATCGCGGCCGCATGGGGGTGCACAGTAGGTGGCGGATGGCAGGGTGGGGTGCTTGCGCGAGCAGCTGAGTTGAGAATTCTTTTTGGGGCATTCATGCATTTCACCACGCAGTTTGACCACCTACTTTATTGCCACACAGCGTTGACCACATAGTTTGCACCACATGACGTATGCCATCTACGTGTCTTTTGCACGCCATAGCTGGCTCCAGTTAGTTTGCGCCAGGCCGACCTTTTGCTTCTACAACATAGTTCCCATCGCATCGCGATCAGCATTTGTGTATACCACATACAACGCCCCAACCAGAGTGCACAACGCAGCTTCTTAGCGCTGCCGTAATCAGTGTAAAGAACCGCGCCCCGCTTCAACAATTCAACTAAGTGCAATGAGTTGTTTCTGTATGGCTACTACATGTGTTTTTCTTTTTTCCTTTTTCCTTTCAGATGTGAGTTTGCAAACGCAATTAATAAGGTTTGCCGAGCTGGCGAAGGCGATGGCGAAGTATTGTATTGGAGCTTAGAGCCTGGGCCACGCACCCGTTCAAAAGGGAAACCTTGTTGTTTGCGGGCGAACCAAACCGACCATTGCGACAGCGGGCCGAAGTATCTTACGGCACAAGTTTTCCCTCCCATTGGATGATCAGTGACGCTAAGCAGACTGATGATGTGGAAGCAACGGAATCAATGGTGTGATCGTAGAGTTGCAGAACAGTAGACGTATGTCTTCAATCGCAATTGGACGCAACGGTGTAAGAGTTGTGCCTGCCTTTTCTTGCGCGCCCTATGTTCCGCGCGCGTGATGTGATGCGCGTCCCTCAGCGGAAGTTCCCCGTCCGCAGTTCGACGCTCTCTTTCCAGGCCGCACAGCTCGAGCGGCCGTGCTCCCATGAGTTTTCCTTCTGGCCAGACGTCTTGTTTGGCCGGCTTTCGCATCCTGGGCCCCCCGCGTCAAGACGGCGATTATCCACCCAGGATGATGCTGTTTTTTTGGGGGGGGGCGGAAGGCTCGAACACCCAGTTCGAGCTCCTTTGTTTAGCTCACCTTTGGGGTACATCTTGGGCGTCGTGGGGGCCCTTTGGGCCGTTTCGCGGGCCTCGTTGGCCGCGTTGGGGCAATTTTCGGGGCCTACAGGGTCGTCTTGGAGTGTCGGAAGCCAGAATCGGCAAGAACGCGTCCTCGCCGTGTGGTTGGACTTCGATGCTTTGACATTGAAGCGCTAGAGGTTGTCTTTGCAAAGTATTTCCTGCTCCCAGCTCTGAGCACCGCGTGAATTCGACAGTATTTCTACACTGACAACGCATGCCTGAAGGTTTTCACGAAGTATGCCTGCCAGATTCGGGCCATTCCGAGATGGCAGCGGCAATGACCGCACGGACACCAACCGGCCCTGGGCTGGACTCTACCTCTCTTCTTGCTGGCCCGACGGATGTCCAGAGCGGCGTGGCTTTCTCCAGGGACCGTCTTGGCTCCGCCAGCCGGGCACACACACCGCCTTTCACGAGGTGCCCTGGGAAGGCTGGCGTCCGCAGGATTCATATTCCCCAGCTGGCTCGGGCAAGACTTGAAGGAAGGCGTGATCTTCCTCATTGTCGTGTCCTTCATCTGGAGCGCCATCCGGCGCTCCTCTCGGACATTGGCCGCTCGGCGTCCGTCGGTTGGAGTACTCTGCCCGGCGGAACGGGGCACGACTTCTTGGGAGGGGTGTTCTTTTAGATGTACGTCCTCTTCTCCTCGCACCTCGACGCTGTCTGCGTGCACTTGGCGCTTTTCTCGGACAGTTGCCTCTCGGCGCCGGTCGAACGGGACAGGACTTCGTGGCGTGGCGTCCTACATGTGCGCTCTTTTGTCTCCGCGATCCTCGTCGCCTTCTGCTTGCAGCTGGCGACGCTCGAAGAACTTTCGACGACCTTCCAGCCGCTCGCACTTGCGCGCGCAGCCTCTGGCCACACGTGCCGGTAGTATATCGGACAGGGCGGAGTTCAATCGAGCTCGTCTGCCCTTTCTTCTTCTGTGCATAAGACCGCGCGTTGCTCCGACATTTTGCCTCGTATACACTTGCCAATCGGCCAGAACGCTGAACAATGTCAAGGGCACTGTTGGGATTCTGTGTGCGTTGCATCTTGGGGCGTTCTTTGTCGCCGTAGAGCTCTTTGACGGAGGGCATCTGTGAGGCCACCCTGGCCGTTCTCAGGCCATCTTGGGCGTCTCGGAGGGCTTTTCCGCCACCGACTCGGAGCCCTCGAAGACCGTCTTTGGGTCCTTTTGGGGGGCCTCGTTGGCCCGTCGGGGCCTTTCTCACTTCTTGGAAAGTCATGCGAGGACACGCGGGAAGCCCCAAGAGCGCTTGGAACTCGGAGGCTCTGGCAATTTAGAGGTAGTGGTTTGTATTGTCAACTGTGGATTCCAATGGACTTGGCGACGCTCCACCCAAGTGCCTCGCGTCACGGTGGCGGATATTGTATTTAACGTGTTCGAGGGGTATGACAGCCGACGAACAAAGACCACGATGGTGCGCAGTGGGTGGTATCATGCCGTGTGTCGTATTTCCCGTACGCCGTACGCATATCCACCCGTCGGGTGGGTGGGAAGAACCAACTCATGAGAAGTGCGATGATCGTGTTTGTGAGGATACGCGACCATCCGTCGGATGGGGGGGAGGAACCAATTCGTGATAAGTGCGATGGATGTGTTTGTGGCGATACTGATGATGCGCTTGCGAACTGGTGGCGATGCATGGTGACGATATTAGTTACCATGCGTGATGGACACGATGTGGACAACCTCGGAACACCATCGAGGCACCACTGGGACACCATCAGGACACCACGTGAACACCATTAGGACACCATCGGAACACCATCGGCACACCACCGGGACACCCTCGGGACACCATCGGGGCACCATCGGGATACCATGTGGACACCATCGGGGCACCGTCGCGGCACCATGTGGGCACCCATCGGCCCACCATCGGGGCACCACAGGCATCACTACAGGCAAAACGTGAACCCTGTAGGGACACGATGTGGACAACATTGGGACAGCATTGGGGCACAATCGGGGCATCATCGAAACACCATCGGATGGAGCACCTGAAGAAATTGTGGAGCAAATACGTGGAGCCATTTTGACACCATGTGGACACCATCAAGGCATCATGTGGACACCATTGGGACACCACGTGGGCACCATCGAGACACCATGTGGACGCCGTGGGAACACCATCGGAACAGCATCGGAACACCATGGGGACATCATCGAGGCACCAGGTGGACACCATCGGCACACTATCGGGGCACCAATCGGGAGACCAATCGGGACATCAATCGGACACCATCGGGACACCATCCGGACACCATCGGGACACCATCGGGACACCAATCGGGACACTAATCGGGACACCATAGGGACACCACCGGGACCACCGACACCATCGGGACACCATCGGACCATCGGCACACCATGTAAACACAATCGGGACACCAGCAAGACGCCGTCAGGACACCATCGGGACACAGCGAATACCAATGGACACCACGGAACACCATCGGGACAACATCGGTTTACCACCGGGACACCATCGGGACAAAATCGGGACACCAGCGGGACAACACAAAGACTCCGTCGGGTCACCATCTGAACCTCGCGGGACACCACGGGACACCACGGGACACCATTGGGACACCATCGGGAACAACCCCCGCACCTTCCCGTCAATGTCCCGGCGGCGCCCTAGCAGTAGAGGCCTCATTCCTCGCGCTCGCCCACGCAGCTTCGCCTCGTCCGCACACACGACACAAACACGAAACAGAAACCGATTTCCCGGTGGGGGGGTGTCCATCCCACTTCGATCTCACACCTCCGACTTCCGATTTCTTTTGCACGAATATCGTTGACGCAGTTTCAGCCATGCGGAGGTTCAAGTGGAGCGTGCGTGACGTAGCAGGGGCTTGGCTACCACAGTGTTTGTTATGCTGGTGCTTGATTTGCTGACATGCCCGCGATGAGCTCTGTTGGGCACTCCTCTCAGTTCACAATGATGTGTTGAGCAGAAGGAGCTATTTCGATCCAGTTCAACATGTCAATCACGGCTTGAGCAGCCAACTGTCATTTTGTGCCTTCAGTGGCGATGTGTCCAAGCATCCTTTTTGCATAAGTGATTCTTACAGAGTACAGGGCCCATCGCATGTCGGAGAAAATGAAGAGGATTCCTCCGATTGACGTGCGTAAGGACGTTCGCACGACCTCGGCCCTCGAAATGGCCAAGATCAAGGCGCAGATCACCGACCTCAGGCGCGCCCGCCCGCGCGCTTCCGATTGCCGAGTGCTACCTTTAAGTCGGGCTTGTCCCTCTACAGGAGGAATATTCCCAAATAGTAAAGAAATAGTCTGGGGACGATTTTCAATATGTTTGACTATGTTTTAGTGTATTTTTGAGTATTTTTCATTTTTCGCACAAGCTCCGCCTGTAGGGGGACACGCCCTGATCTCATGCCTCCGTGGCGTGTTGGCGTCTCTCGGTGCCTCTCGGGTCAGCGAGAAAGCGAGCGAGATCAGGGAGCTCCGTGGATATGGCGCGCGGGCCCCGGGCCCCAAGGGATCGGGGGGGAACGGATCTGTTCCATCCACCACGCGGGTTGACCCAAAAGGGGGTCCAGCTGAAAGGGGGTGGTGCAAGAGATTTGGGCAATCAGTTTGCAAATGTATTGCGCCGGAGAACGGTATTGCATTCTACTGCAAGCAGCGGTGCGTTGCGCACCAGAATGTATTGCACGCCCCAAATGTATTGCAACCCCACAAATCGATTGCACCAAATCTATTGCACCAGCCACTTTTCAGCTGGACCCCCTTCCGCCCTCCCTGCAGGCAGCTGCCCTGACTTGACCCAGGCAAAACGTTAATCGTGCAGGTCTCCAAGCCTTGTGGCGTGCACTGAGCTCTCTGCGGCCGGGGCGTGGCGTCAAACGTGTGTTGTGCTGGCTCTTACGCCCCCCCGACAAAATGGAGCGATATGACGACGACGAGCACCGCGACGAGCTCGTCCCAGTCTCCACCACCCCGTGACCTCGTTCCCTGGCAGGTCCCGTGCGTCGCGCAATGAGGGGGGGGCGACAAATGGGGGGGCCAGGGAGGGCTGCAGAAAATGGGCCCTAAAAGGGGCTCTTTAGGGCCCTGATGGGGGCGTTTTTCAGGACGAAGAGGTGCCCCTTCCTTCTGCCCCCATTTATCGCCTCATCGCCCCCTATTAAGCGACGCCCAAGGCAGAGGAGGACACAGAGAGGGGGATGGAGAGGACCTCTTGGCCTCCCAAGCGGGGCCCGAGCAGACATGGGCCCGAGGACCGCACCGCATGATGCCCACGGCATCGGCGATCCACCCGCGACCCACTGCGCGACCCACTGCGCGACCCACTGCGCGACCCACTCCGCGACCCACCCGCGACCCGCCCGCGACCCAACAGCGACTCACCCGCAACCCACCCGCGACCCAGCCGCGACGCATTTGCGACCCACACGCGACCCACCCGCGATCTGCCCACATTGGTTTCACGAAAACATCGGCGCTTGCGGCAGACTCGATGTATACTTTGTCAATCTTTGGCGCCTGCGGCGGGCTTCTCCAGAGTCTCACAGACTGCCGACGTCCCCACCGCCCCCTCACTCTTATCCGCATCTGCGGGGTGCTACAGATATTCCCACCAGGCCATGCATAAACTATCCCCAGGCGAGATGGCAGGACGGGTGGGACGATTAGAAAGAGACTGCAATTGAAGAGGAGGTGGAGGTGTAGGAGGTGGACGTGAAAGGCAAGAGGAACGGAAGAGGGGGGAGGATGTAGGAGAGATGAGAGAGGATGGAGGAAGCAGCAGGAGAACAGGAGGCGGAAGAGGACAAGGATGACGAGGGAACAACCGAGCACCCCGCATAACACAGCATTCCCCCCTTGACCCCTGAGTGTTGATTGCCCCCGGCTAAGACAACTTTTCTCCAGTGAGAGGGGTGGCGAGGCCGAACTGTAGTATCGCCGGGAAAACTAATAATCGAACTATGTTTTTTTTTTTATGTTGAGTTGCCACAATATCACGAACCGAACGTGTGACAGGCGATAGGTATGTAACCAGTTCAGTTTTCCCCAACCGCGAACGTGTGGCAAGGCCATGGGATTCTCACCATTTCAGCTGTCCCATGTCACGAACGTCTGGCAGGACAGGGAAGCATGTTTAGTTTCCCCTGGAGCCCCGAACTTTATTACCCTCGGGGGGTTTGTTATCAGGGATGATGGGTTAGGAGTACCAGTCAATAGACGGAGGAGGGGGACGAGTTGGTTGAGGATTGAGGAGGAGGGATGAACAGCGTCTGGGGAGTGACCATGCACCCCGCACTGGTCACCGCTGTGGATACCGGGTGCGTTGACAGTTTGCTGGGCAGCGAGCCACCCGCGACGGCCAGATGCATGGGCTCATGCGGCCGAGGTGCAGCAGGCGCACCACGGACGTGTTGGCAATCGCCCGCAGCGCTGCACGGCAGGCTGCGCCTGGCTGCCTTCGTCTGCTGCGACGGCGTGTGCCCAAGCAGCTTGGAGCCGCTCACCCCAGGCACCTGGGGACTCGAGTTCACTTGGGGATCTCAGTCTTCGGGGACGGAAAAGAGGGGGGTGATGACCAGGGGGGGGTGGACATCATGGCGGGGGCCATGATATTTTCCCAGATTTCATGGCGCCTCTTCCTATTTCATTGCGTCCCTGGCCCCCCCGCTGGGCCGCACACATGCCGCCGGTCATGATTTGCACCCCTCCCCTCTTGGACACCACCCCCCTCTTTGCCGCCCCCGAAGTCTGGCGTTCGTGCACCTGGACGCGTCGGCCTCCCGCCCATGCCCGACGCCTCGACCACTGTGAAACCATGCGCCGGGCGCTCTGCCCAGCCGAAGGCACCGTACGCGTCCTCCATCCTCGCGCAGTGCACGAAAGCGGAGGGAGGGATCGGGAGGCGAAAAGCAAGGGGTCGCCCAGCGGACGCGCTGCAATGGTTCTTCCGGGTTTTCTCAGTCGTTCGCCGTCGTTAAAATCGGCGTGTGGTGCGGCGCCGAGCCGGCCTGCTTCGGCAGCAAGGCGTGGGAGTCTTGCATGTTCTTCTGATCGTCTCTCGAGTGCATCGGCGTGCGCGCGCTAGCGTCTGGCAATCGATGGGAAAGCGATGCGCGAGAGCCAACAAGATGGCATGGTAGACTCCCATCAGATGGCGCAGAAGTTTGCGGCCGTCCATGTCCACGCCTCTTCATGGGGAAATGCAGGCAGCGTGCTCGTGCAGGCAAGCGCGTGTCCGGGCGGCGCGGCAGTCGGGCAGCTAGATCCCTGGCGTCTTCTGGGCAGCAGGGACGAAGGCACGGGCAGGCGATTGCTTATAACATGCTCGCCCGGCAGAAGCAAGCATACAGTAATCCTGGCGCCCAGACGGCATCTTCACAGGAACACCGGCGCCCCATGCAGCTCACGCCTTCGTTGGGGCGGCGTTGCGTAGACTCTGGGAGCCCACTGCTGTTTGGGCCTGCCGCGCCAAAGGTTCTCGTCCCAGATATTCGAGGCAGATGAGAATTGGCATACAGTCGGGGCCCTGAAGAAGGAACCCTTTTGGTTGGGGAGGGGCTCGGTGTTCCTTGATTGTTCTGCAGTTTGTCTCCGGTTTTCCTGAGGTCTTCCATGGGAAATCGAAGTTCAATTTGTGGGAGAAAGGGACCTCGTTCCTTATTTAGAGTTCCTTAGGTCAACGCCCCGACGGTACGCATACATATTTATTTTCTGAGGTTTTCGCGGGCTTCCTGGACCTGTGCTGGACCCCGGCCGCGAAGCCTCTGGCGCGCTCCGCGCGCCAGGGAGGGAGGTCCATCGCCGATCCGTGATCTCCGAACGGACCCCTGAAAGTGTATGATCATGTAGTCTTTCCCTTCTCTGTTGGGTGCATGCGAACCTAATTTGCCAACAGAGTTCACTGTGCATGTGCTGATGTTGCCACCGTCACGCGCATCTGTCGAGGGGGTTCGGAAGCCCCGCCGTGCGCAGGAGAAGAACTGCCGCCGAGATCGAGACGGACCGCGGCGATCCGCGCCCGCAGATGTTTTAGGATGCAGCCAAGATGCAGCTCCTCCCTCTCCTCCTCCTCCTCCTCCTCCTCCTCCTCCTCCTCCTCCTCCTCCTCATCCTCCTCCTCCTCCCTCCTTTTCCTCCTCCTTCTCCTCCTGGGGCCCCTCCATCGCCGAGTGCAATGCTGCGATAGCAGCGTCTTGCGCGCTCGGGTCTGCGCCTTCCCCCCATACGTGGTCCTACCCCCGGATACAGCCAAGATGCAGCCAGGATGCTGAATTATGGACCACATTGAACTCATTCGGTTCCATCGTTTCTTTTTGAATGGGCCAGAACGTTGTCTGGGCTCGCTGAACGGCCAAGTATGGTCTGAGAGGCTCTGGTTTTCAGGCCGTTCTTGACGATCTGAGGTCAGAGGTCGGGGGACAATTCGTGGCTGGGGCTGCCCATGTCCAGGACAGCACGGGGGTAGCTCGGTGACTGTACGGGTGCGGTGCCTCATGACAAGAGCTGCGACAAAGGTCATCACCCACAGGCAAACTCCAGATTGCGGACTGACGACTTTCCTGAGGGTACCCTGGCGTCCTTGCCTCTGCGGCCCGTCATTCGCCTTTCTCGTTGACCAGCCCACGATCTGAGGTCAGACCAAGTTGCGTCCTTACCGTTAGCGTAGCGTAGTGTACGGGTGCGTATGAGAGCTGCGACAGGTCAGGCGATTGCGGACTGACGAGCCCTGGCGTCCTCCTGCGGAGAAGCCCATCAGGGTGCGTCCTTAGGTCGGCGACCAAGACGCGGCCCGCCCTTCGTTCGAGTCCCAAGCCCTAGTTAGGGCGCTCAGCTCAAGAAGCCGAAGACCGCGCCGCAGCTTTAGCCACTCACCTTCCTGGGCTAGGTGACATGGCTCGACGAGGCCGATGGCGAGTTTCTCATCCAAACCTTTTGCTCCACGCAGGGAGAAAAACTATACCTCAGGTTCTACGGGATCTGAGGGTGTCAGACGCAAGCCAGATGTTCCTGGCGAAGTGCTTCATCAGAGACAGGCTACTGACGATGAGGGGTCAGGAGTTTCCCAAGCCTTGCCTGATGACGCTGTGCATTTCTTCGAGGTTACGTGTGACGAGAGATGGCTCAGACTGCAGACGCTCGTGGACCTGAAGGCGGTGTGGTATCTGTTGGACGTGCTGCAGTACGGCCAGGGTATCAAGTTCAGCGAGGCCGACGAGACGCGAGTCGTCAGGCACAACGGCGGGCCCGAGCGTCTGAGGCCCCCTGAGTCCCCGCAGCCACCAGTTTTGTTTGACGGTGCCCGTGTGCGGCCCCACCTGGGGCCCAAGTGCACTGGTTTGCGTGTCACGGCCCACGGAGTTGGCTTACCGCCTAAAGCCGCCGCCCCTGCCGACCTGGAGGGTCAGGCGCTCGTGTTTGAATCGTATAATGGTAACAGCTGGGGCGCGCTCAAGAAGAGACTGAGGAGTACACAGGCTCTGGTGGTGTTTGCACAGGAAATAGGGTTTACCGAAGAGGATCTGGCTGCGAGAACCTTGACTGCTAAGAGTTTAGGCTGGAACATGCTCTGTGCCCCTTCGGTCAAGTGTGCAGGTGGGCAGACGTCAGCTGGAGTAGCTATACTGGCAAGAACGTCTATCGGCCTGAGGTGGCCCACTAAGTTGCCCAGAGGCATACTTATCCAGCACAGGCTGATCTTTGCTACGAACGACATTCCAGGGTGGCCCGAGCTACTAGCGGGATGCGCGTACATGTTCACCAGTGAGGGGCTGACCAAGCGGAACCTCCAGATTTTAAGACACGCAGGTGCAGTCTTAGAAGGTGTACATCTCTCGGTGTTTGCTGCTGATTGGAATTTCTCGGCCGGTGTTGCAGAGGCGTCTGGCATGCCTCGCAAGGCCTCCATGATGATAATGCAGCCCAGTATCGAAACGTGTGCTACGCCGAAAGCAAACACCAAGATCGATTATTTCATGGCGTCGGCGGCCTTCTGCAAGCTGGCGCAGGCCACCGAGGTTGACAGCACGTGGCCGAAGCGGCCCCACCGCCCTGTACAGCTTCGATTAAGGCCTGGGGCAACCAAGCTGCGGCAGCTGGTATACCAGACTCACCAGAAACTCCCAGTTGAACTGCCCTTCGGCCCCACCCCCCCCCGATCGACTGGTCTGTGGCCCGAGCCGTGGCCGAGGAGGCGAACCGTAGGGCCGACCATGAAGAGGTTGGGCTTGTTTGGGGGGTCCTGGACCGAGCTTGGAAAGTTCCCTCGGATGCGATGGAGTTAGAGTTAGAAAGTAGAACGGGCACCCCCATAAAACGTAAAGGGCTTAAAGGTAAGCAGCTTCAGGCTAAGTGGGTGCCTGTTATGACCCCCCCGAAGTGCAGAGATGATGATGATGTGCGCATTGGGGAGGGATGGGTGTGGCTGCAACAGGGGATGACCGACCTCAGGAACACCAGTCAGCGCATTCTCACGCAAGCTGACAAGTTCATTGATCACAGTGAAGTGCAGGCTGCCCTTAACCTTGTGAAGATTGTTTCTCAGCCGTTTGAAGCTGAGGGTTTGTCTCCGAGATTGGATCTCACTGTCCGCAAGGCGTGTGAGCTGGCGGCGGCTTGGCCGCAAGATTTGGTGGCCCTTGCTGGATGGATTGATCATTGCTCGGAGACTTTAGAAGACTGGGCTGAGGATTTTCAAGCGGCCCGTGATGGGCTGGACCAAAAAGCGAAGCAGAGTTGGGACCAGTGGCAGACCGAGGCCCTGGCGGGGTCGGCCCGAAAGACGCATCGGCTTACGAGGTTGAAGGCTCGGTGGCAACCGACGGTGATAGAAACCAGTCCTGGGACCTTCACGTCGGACCCGCGGGATTTACTGGCCCATGAAGCCAATGTTTTAGGGGGGCATTGGAATGCCACCACCACCCCACCCCCAGTTGAAGTCCCAGATAGGCACTGTTTTGAGAGAGCCACCGCGGCGGAGCTGCGAGCCGCAGCCAAGATGTTCTCGCCGCACACGGCTCAGTCCCTTGATGGGGTGCACGTGCGACAGTTCGCTTGCATGTCGGACGCTGGCCTCGACGCCCTGGCTTGCACTTTTCAGTGTGTTGAGAAGATAGGTCTCTTCCCTCGGGCGTTGTACTGGATGCTCTTCCCTCTCCTGGAAAAACCGAAGGGTGGGTTGCGCCCGATTTTGTTGTGTTCCTCCCCAGTTAGGCTTTGGGAGCGGCTCCGACGACCGAAGCTGGCGTCCTTCAACGACCGACACCCGCGTAGGTACTGGGCCTTCGGAGCTGGGAAGTCGGCGGAAGGCAGCGTGTGGAACCAGGCGGCCAAAGCGGAGGCCCGAGTGGCCGACGGTGGGGTCACTGCGGGATTCTCTTGGGATGGGTCGAAGTACTACGAGAGTTTCGACCTGAGACTCCTCCGTGATAGGGGCCAGAGAGCGGGCCTTGATCCCGTGGTGCTAAAAGCCACGCTCAACTTCTGGAGGGGCCCTCGGATATTGCGTTTAGGTACGGATCATGCGCTGGCGGCGTTGCACGCTGAAAGCGGGCTGCCAGCAGGGTCGATTTTTAACGATATCTTCGTGCGAGTGTACGCGCTCGGGCCTTTCGACGGTTTCGTGGAGCGGAACCCCAGCATTGATCTGGCGTCGTATGTGGACGACGACACGGTCTCAGCGTATGGCACCGAGGCTGAGGTCATCCACACCCTTGCCGCAGCGGCGCAGGACTTGCACCGTGTTTTCAAGCAGGAGCTCGGAGTCAATCTAGCCCAAGATAAGTTGATGACTTTTGGTTCGTCGCCCAGTGTTGCTTGTCGCCTCGGGGAGCAGCTCGAGAAACTGGCGGGTCAAGTCGGGGCCCACATGGTTACCTTAGGTTGTGATCTCGCCCCAGGGGGCGAACGGAGTAAGAAAGGCCACCTGAGCAAGAGACGAGGCAGGATAAAAGACATGATTAAGAGACACAGGATTTTGTGTAAATATCGGAAGGCCCTCCCCAGGGAGCGTTTCAGGATTGGCAAGATTTACACGGCTGGGGTCAAACCTGGTTTAAGTTTCGGGGACACGGTTGTGGGCATGAGCGACGCTGAACTTAAGCGTGCGCGTAGCGTGATGTTGTCGTTCCAAGCGCCCAGGCATGCTGGGGCTTCCTTGAGAGCCAAGACGGTGCTCCTAGGCGACCCCATGTGGAGGAGCATGATTGCCCCTGCGCTGGCGTGGTCACATGCGGTGTGGGCGGCTACCACGCGCCCCGAGCACGCCTTTTTCTCGATTCAGGAGCTGTGCAGTATGTGGCGGACCGTCCCGCCCACAGGCTACAACTGGGCAAAAACAAAGGCCCGATCAGTAGAATGCACCTCTCCCTGCAGCGTATCGGGTGGGAAGCTCACACCCCCCTCCACTGGCGCGATGATAATGGCGTGGAGATACCCCTGCTGTACTCCACCCCCTCCATGATCGGGCACTGGCTTTGTTTGGGGGTTCAGAGGCACCACGGACGAGTTCTGGGCAAGAAGCTTGGGTGGACCCCTGGGACCAGAGTGTGTGTGGAACCTATCCGACGCATTACCAAGTCGGGGGTCAAAGGTATCGGGCTCAATGCCCAGGGTAAATACTTAGTGATGGCGTGTTTTTGTGAGGGGCTCTGGACCGAAGACAGGGCTTTACGGTCAGGGTACATCACTCCAGGCCTCTGCCCCTTATGTCAGGAGCCCGATTCAGTAGGCCACAGGATCTTCAGATGCCAGCACGCGGAGGTCGTCGCGGCACGGCAGGCCGCTGATGTCTCCACGACCTTTCTCGAGCGCGCCCAGAGCGGGGGCGCGCAGTTTTTCGAGGTCTCAAGTTTCAGCACCCAGCGGCCGAGTGGCCGAACCTCTCGGGTGTGCACGAGCAAGAGCTTTTCGATATGAGTGGAGTGGGATCCGTTTGATGGGTCCTCCTTCTTCCAAGCTGGAGATGGGTCTTGCGCTCGGCACACCATCAGAGAGCTCCCGAGG